AGTTGCTTTCTCAGGTTCTGTTTTCCAATCCAATTCCTGTCACTTTTATGGTAAAAAAGAGATCAGAAAAGACAACAATCTAAAAAGAAGTTGAATCTCTAAGAGAAAGAGTAGCTAGGGTAGATCTGATGTGTTCAGAAAGACAAACAACAAAGTTTAGGAAAGGTAGAGCTTTGGCAGCTGCTAAAAGAAAGCTTTCCACCAGCTCAGTGGGATTTGTCTTACTCATACCCCAGCTCCAGCCCCACCTGCCAACTTAAGAGCTACTTTTCCTAGGACTGCTCCAAGGTTAGGTGATATGTACTGCTGCCTTTCACAAAAATAAAAAAGGGGGGGTTATCACTTCCATACCAAGCATCTCTCAAAACTAGAGCAAAACATGTTCTCTAAGCTGAAAACCTGAAAGACAGGTAGCAGATGTGTGTTCTCACAAGTCCCTGGTTCAGTGAAGCACAAGTTTTTTACAGGCATTGCCTTTCTGCACAGAGCAAAGCATTTTCAGTGGTGCAGCCTTGCCACCACCCATGTCTCTGACTGGTCTCTCACATCCCTGTATTGCAATTCACACTCCACTAGCTGTGTTGCCAGACCTGTCCTCAGCATTCTGCTGTAAGCCACAGGAGTGAGAGCAACAACCAAGTCCAGAACTGCTCACAGTGGCTTCACCTTGGAAGCCAGAAAATCCTGGAGTGCTCTCAGAAGCACATTGGACCTAGGCTGAACGTCTCCACTGAGCTGCAAGATGAGGGAAGACCGTTCAGGTTATGCTAATCCCATCTACTTCTGGTGTGAGTCTAAACACTCGTTCAAGGTTTGAATAAAGACTATCTGAATTTAGTCTATATTTAACTCATAATAATGACAGCTGCTCTGTTCTGTAACGGTGTACTTTGCCTATGGAGTGCTTTCCTTTCTATCTTTAGGTGCTTGCAGCCTCTGTGTGTACAGAGCAAGCCAAAAGGATGGGGCTTGTTCTACTGCTTATTATAGAAACATTCACAGGTTGCTACTAAGATCCCTGACATATCTAAGATAAAAATATACTTTTAGGGTTTTATGCCACCTTGACATGCATCTTTCATTTCTGTTGAGTCTGGAAAGCTTCACCAGGTGAAAAACTATTTATAAGGATTATCAACTTTTTAATTAGATTTTGAGTGTGTACATGCTTTTCCCAGATGAGATGGGAGAACAGATTCATCACTGGACCCAGAAATCGAATGCTTGTGACCAGTGTATATAGTGAATCAGGTAGTCCTGTACATACCCATTTTCTAGAGAATCACACTTGTAAGAACAGACTAGGAGCCAGGTTCTGTTCCAGATTATTGAAGATGGGACATGCAGGGAAAATAAGACTCGTGTGAGGGAAGCTTTGTTTTGTGTCTCTGACCTGCTTGATGGTTATTTATATTCTTTTATTAAATTAATATTTATGTACCAAACATAATTACCCCAGGGAGACAGATGGCATAGACTAGTCAATGCATGGTGTTTGGGATACATCTTTGTATCCCAAGCATCATCACTCTGTCAGTGCCTCCCTTTCTAAAACAGTACACAAAAGAGTTCCAGTTTTCACAACACATTATTTTCCAGTGAAATACTTCCAGCCCTACCTAGTCACAAATGAATAGTTGTCTTCCTGGTTAGTTACACACTGAAATAGTGGCAACATTTTGGATTACAATATGAGCAGTGGCATGTGTCCAGCTTCTCTGCTGAAATATTCTGTCAATACTGTGGGGGTAGTGTGTATTGGATAAGAGTAGATCTCTTTCTCACTTTATAGAGTTCAAATTGTTCTTAAAATTCCCACAGAGTGCGTGGGCTGACCACTGCAATAACTAAATGTGGGATTTTTAGGCTCTAATTTGTGATGCTAATTTAGGTAGGCTTGGTGGGGCTCTCCATGGGTCATGTCAGAGGCAGCAAAGTGCACTAGCACAACTCCTCTGGGAGGAATCCTCCTTTCATCTTTCCAGCTATGCTGGGGGATGCCTGGGGCAAGCTGTGCCTTGCATGGCATGGGCTCCATGCTCACAGATACACTGCTGGATGGAGCAAAAGGCCTGTTAAGGAAATGCTTTGAATGAAGACTGCTGTGCGAACAGAGACACCTTCCTCTCCTTCCCACCTCCCAGAGGATGCATACTGCCTCTTACCTAGCTTCAAAAATGAGCCTAACCACAATGCAAGATAAAGTTGCCTTCAATTCCCATCCACCTGTACAGATGATGAGAAAGTTGCAAGGATTTCTGAAACTCTTGGCTGTACTGACACCAGCAATGCAACATCTCTAAGGGTAAATGGGATAAACAACAGCAACTGGATACAGACAGAAGCAGAGTGCTGAGGCATATGAACATGGAAACTTGACGCCTTATACACATGCAAAGTTTTTCCCATCCTTTCCACAACAAACTGGACTGTCCCAAATTGCCCTTGAGGACAAATAATGCAGGTAGTTGGTGAATGCCATCTTAAAGACCCCACTACAAGACCCATGGGGGCAGAAATAGTACTGATTGCCATTTCTGTTAATTACTTTTCAAAACAACATGCCTTTGATGAGAAAACTGGTTAAAAGCTTTCTGGAAATTCAATTTGTAATATCACTAGATCATCACACACTCAGTGAGCCCTCAGCTAGCTCCAAAATATTTGTCAGGCACACCACTCAACACTTGATTTTGTCCTTTTGGCCTGTATTTGTTCCTTTTAGTTTCTTGCTAACTATTCTCCTAACCTGTACCTCCTCTGTAAATGTTGTAGCAGGTAGCTTTACACCCACAAACATGCTGAATTAGAATTCATTACAGAGACAGTTACAAAGTAAGAAACAACAGTTACACATTGCACTAAATTCTGTTCAGTGCTCAGGATTAAATCAAGAACTGTTACTCCACTTGTGGGTTCATCTGATTAGCTCCAAACACTTATGAAGCCTAACAATGTAAACACAATGTGATAATAAATTACATAATTGTCAAAATTATTATTATATTCTGCATATGCCAAATGTTATGCAAGTAATCATTTAAAGTGAAACCACTGCTATTAAGACAAAGATGCATTTAAATTGTAAACTATATCAGAAATATTTCAAATAGCTGAAACTCATTACTGAAAATAATGAAGGAAATTATGTGTAACCATGTCCAGCAAATCACTGAAGAAAAGATGTATATGTAATGGATCTATGAGAATCATAATCAAAGGAATAAATATACATCTTGGCTAAACAAGAGGGCCACAGATCTCTAAATTCCTTTGAAAGCTGACAAAATAGGAAGGAGGAAAAGAAATAGTTTACATGGCTACAAAAACAAGCAACTGCACTAACCCAAGAAAAAGGAGTACCTTGAATACCAAAAGAACTTACATTATGTGCCAAAGGGCTATAATCTGTATGAAACATTGATATCAACATTCATCTGTGAATCTTAAAATACCTCATGTCAAGTATGCATTATGCTTTAGCAGTGAGGTTGGACTAGATGATCTCCAGAGGTGCCTTCCAACACCAACTATTCTGTGATTCTCTGATTATTTTAATCAGAAACTATCATGCTGACAGTTTAATGGCCTTGTGTATGTCACCCAGAAAGCCAAAACTCAGCTGAGAAATAATCAAAGATTTTCTGACTCTCAATTCATATAATGACTTTAATACTGTCTTTTTTTCTTGGGCAGAAGCAGGCTGGAATATTCAGAGATTTCACTGAGGTAAAGCAGGAATAATATAAAGGTAGGGAAAAAAAAGAAACTAGGGATCTTAGCTAGTTCTGTTTTTACAAGACTGACCTGAGACACTTTTCAATAACCTTATTTTCATTTAATGAAAATACAGGCCCTTTTCAAGTGCTTTCCAGACAGATGCTTACTCACCCATAATCACTAGTCACCTTTTTCCACATTTAGCCTGAGAGATACTACTTATGGCTGGTCTGGGACACTTCAGTGTTATTTAATCAAAATGGAAATTGCTCATACTCCATTCTAATACTTAATTACTTCCTTTCCAAAACAGTTACAACTAATTTGCTTGCCTCTGTGGGAATGGTTTAGAAATAGATACCTGTTAAACTAACCAGCTTGGACAGCTTCTCATCCACTCCATCACTGGAATGACTTACCTTCAATTATGCCACCTTCAAGGGAAGCATCACACAGGTCACTTCTAGAAGTTCTGCCTCAAAGAGAGAATCCCTGAAGTGAACCATTGGCAAATTAGCAAAACAGCATTTGAGCATTTGCCAGGTCTGTGGCACTGCTTGAAAAAGAACTGCTTACAGTGAAACAGACTCAAAAATAGAGGGTACTGGCAACATGAGGGGAAATTACATATGAGAAAGTCTATACAGAAATTTAGGGTAGGAAGTATCCATGGTAGTCAGGGCAGGTAAATACCATGAAGATGATTTCAGTTAGTGGCATTACATAAGTTTTTGTAGTAGAGCTGCAGATTTACTCCAACATATCTGTCCTCTCGCAGTGAAGGCATATCACATAGCCATCTCTCTTCCCAAGCTCACATTCACACTACTAATCCTGCTTTCCAAGTCTTTTTGGCTTTATTAGTAATACAGTGAGGACCTACTCTGCATCCCTGTTCCTCCAGAAATTACAGCACCGCTATCTTCTCTCGGCTTTCAGTGAATGTTGCTGTGAATGTTAGATGTACATGTTCAGGGCAACCTGTGGTGTTTTGAAGACTGTTTTACAAACATTCCTTGTAAGGAACCTGGCTTAGGAGATAAATTCCCCAGAGATACCTTCACTAAGGAAATTCAGAACCAGATCTATAACCCTTGCACCACCACTTAGAGGTCTGTTTCTCTGCACTGTCTACAAAGGCCCTTAAGGACATTACCCATCATCTCAGCTAGACATGTAAATATTTCATGGTGCCTAACATGCAAAAAGGACTGTAGGTAATAGCAACAGAATTAAAAGCAAGCTATACAACACAAGCAAAAAACTGACAGTGAACTTACTCTGAAAACTTTTTCCACCCTTGCAATGCTCTTCCCAAAGATGGTTCCAAGTTGATCTCCAATCCCAGCCAGCAAGAAGCCAAACAGTGGAATCCCAAAGATGGCATACAAGATGCAGAAAACCTTGCCTCCAACAGTGCTTGGGGCCACGTTCCCAAACCCTGAGGAGAAAAACAATTGTCAGACACCCAGAACTTATACACATCTTCTTAGAACAAACCCAATAGGTTTTAAAAAACTGCTCTTATTGCAGGCATACCTTTGTTCTACCTGGAATTCCTATTTATAGATTGTCCATGCCATGATTTCATTTCCCAGGCAAGCTACCCCCCATCATTCCATTCTTCTTGTAGCCTTGGTTACCCATACTTTTTATAGATTCAGCCTATCTAAAACTGTTGTTTGATTAATTCATCTAGCTTGGCATCATGGCACAAAAATCCCACCACGCTGGCCTGGTGCCTGTGTGCTGCTGCTGTTCTTGGCCTGTGCCGATGGTTTCCTGACAAGAGTGTGATTCACCTGACCAGGCTCATTTTCAGTGGTTAGCTCATAATTTCCTCAGCCCCTCATCATACTGACTAGTTACACTGCAGCCTTCAAACAGTACCCACAAAATGCAAATCTGCCCTTGAACTCTTTAGCCAGTAGTGCATTATGACTCTAGTAGCCATGGTATTTCTGCTAAAATGTCAAAGAGAAAAAAAAGAAAGAATTGTGACAGTAATATTTGCACCTCATGTTATAGAGATTTGTAGTCTAACTATAGATAATTATTTGAATATTAACAATTAGCACACATTCACAAATAACTGATGAAATAAAGCATCCAGAGAGCTGGATTTCTAAGAGAGTCAGGTCCTAATCCTGTTAGTTTGGTGGGACTGGCACTGGATATATCTGTGTCTCATGGGCTGGTGAAAGGACTGTGCTGACATAACACACTGCCTGCCCCATAACCTGCTCTCCTTTTCATGGCTGCATCCAGGATCCCAGATTTCTCCTCAAAGTCCAAGCAAATCAGGCTCCACAGGCCAGTGGACTGAGGCTGACCAGGTAGTCTGATGAGTTTCTGCCAAAGAGGAACCCTAACAGGCCTCTGGTGAATAAACTAAAATCACTTTCATGCCCTAATACAATATGCAGACTCTATGCAGCCTATAAAAAATCTCTGTAATGGAGAATTCAAAGTAAACACAGGCAAAAATCCAAGGTCTTTTCAATAAGTTATTTAAATAGCAGATGTCAATGAACATGCCTACGTAAACTATGTAGGCATAGTGGCATTTATTTTAATGAGTAATTTAAAAGCTTGTCACTTGGGTCTATTGAGTAAACAAATATTAAGGGAGGGTTTCCTTGTGTTTGAATCAGAAATGTTTTCTTTCTTGCCACCCGCTGGTTTTATGCTACCATTAAAAATACACAGTAAAGTAGCTTAATATATAGAGGAACGCAGGGAGGAGTATGCTCTACACAATGACTCTTTCCTCATCACTCTGACAACAAAGAAAAGGCAGAGCCAAAGGCACAGACTTCACTATTTGAGATGATCTCCACAGCAAGTCTTCTAACTGCCAAAGGATTTCTTTTGTTCTATTACCTGCATAAAGAACCTGCAGAATTCAGTCAGATTCTCACACTTTAATGAAGGGTGATATGATTGTCACCAGTATGTGCATCACAGTTGTAATGTGGAGAAGTGCTTTATCCAATATTTAAGGCAGAATAATACTTAAAGGCAACGCAACTAAAAAAACAACCATTTGCCAGTGATTTCCAGATAATCAGATCTCTTGATTTTTAACTATGACAGCAGCAAAATCAAGCCAAAAATTATAAAACTACTGCACAATTATCAGCAGATTAACTTTATCATCAATGTTATCAGTTTATTTTCTTTTTCCTGCAGACCATCTTCTGAAGTCTCAGCTGGTTGAACACTTGAAGACTCTTCAAGAGCGGGACTGGCTCACAGAGGAGAAAATAAAAACTTTAGCATATCTAAGCTATTCAGAGATCAAGAGATTAAATACATTGGACACAATGTATGGGAAGACAGATGATAAGGGCCTGAATAATTATTATACTAAAATTAGTGTTTCAAGAAAAGTGAATGGAGCAGTTCAGTATACTTTTCATTCAATAGAGAGAAATGTGTCAATAATTCAAGACCATGAATTATATAAAGGAAAATAGGAAGTGAGGGGTTTTTTACACAAAGTATCATTTGTGGAATTCCTTCCAATTATTAATATGAAAGTGAGTAAGGATTTTAAAAGGGATGTAATACTTATGAGAATACATTTTCAGTTACAAGGAGTAGGGTATGAGAAGAATTGCTTCTGTCAAACTTCAGAGCATAAGCCGAAATTAATTGATGTACTTAGGAAGAAAGTTACCCTTATAGGCAAATTCATCTCTAGTATTAAAATTCAAATTCCCAGCAACCAGAGAATAATTATTTCATTGGGTACTGCTTCATGATCTTTTTAGTGAAAATTGAGACCCTCTGCACCTACATCAAGATCAGGGTTATAAAGCCTGCATCAGTATCACCTGCTTTCAGCTCAGCATTGCTATTCTACCCTAATTTAAACAGCTTCTGCCACTTACCCAGAGACCCAATGCCCTTGACACATGCCAGAGGCATGCCCTCTGCTAACTGAGAGAAATACAGTTCAGCTACTTTATTTCTTCATAGTCTACCTTCCACCAATTTATTTCATTACCCTGGTCTCAGTGTGCTATGTATTTTTTAAAATAAACAATAAACATACCTATAGTCGTGATGACAGTTCCAGCAAAGAAAAAGGCACTTCCAAGGTCCCAATGACTGCTGTTGTTAGAGGAGTTTCCTATGGGACTGACTCCTGCATTATCAGCCTCAACAGCATGCTGCAAAGAAAGAGACAACAAATCAGCCTTACGCATGTCTTACTGTATCCTATACAAGCTGGTATGGGTTCCAAAGGGAAATTTCCAGGACCGTGGAAACAGCTTAGATTTAAGCTTTTTAATACATGCTCAGAGTATAGTAGCATCTTCTGTACACAAAAGTTCAATACACAACTGAACTAAACAGCCATTTACGTGGAAGAAAGATACAATGCATAAACAAGTGAGAACAGATACAAAGCAAATGAGAAGTAGAGGACCAACACCACAAATTGATCCATAAATACTGTTCTTGTAGTAACTACTGACAGAGGAAAAGTTCCCCAATGGGAACAGCTGATGTTAGAAGCAGCTAGAAGGCTGGTAAATAAATACAAATAAAGTTTGTGAAGTCAACCGAAGCTAGTCAGCCAAGGATTTTAATTCCCAGACAATTAATTATTGATTAAGTAATTTATATTTTATGCTAACTAAAGAAAAATTATGGTGTGTGTATATATATATATATCCCACTTGAAATTAACAAATAAGCTAACTATGGAAACATCATGAAATAACTTTGTGATCAGCTCAAACTTGCCAGTTGCCACACTGGACACGATCATATGTCCACAAATACAGCATGATACAGAGACTCCCAGCCAGGGCTTGAATGAACTAAATCCAGAGCAGAAGCTGAGGTAGCTATCCTGCTTCCTGGTCAATGTCCTGTGTCTCACATAGCACTGAATCAAACCAGGCAGACATGTGAGCCTGCTGAATGTTTGCTTGGGAATTTCTAAAAATGAACCATATTGTATCATTTGCCTTTCGTTGTAGCTTCACAGTCCAAAGGAAGAGAGATAAACACACAAGCCTTCAAAGTACAGAAATATATCTCTCTTTGGCATCTGTCATATTCATCTGAGTTGCTCTAAGTTCACTTTTGAAGTGCCCTTTGGCAGGTACTCTCCAGTTGCTTGTAGATCTCATACACGCTATTGTCCATCACAACAAAATTCAGACCTCGTTCTGGAACAGAAGCTAAAATGACTGCTTTTCTCCTTTCCAAATGTTCCCAACTGAGATTAATTTCCATAAAACCCCTGCAAAGGAACCAAGCTTCTCTCTTTCTGCCTATTAACATTTTCAGCTCTTCACCTTTCTCCCACTCTGCTCCAACCTCACTTCGTGTTGTTGTTACCATGCTACTCGTACTACTGACGGATCTTCTCCTTCTCTCTCACTCTGTTATTTGATCCTCCTCCTAAATATTGCCACCAGACTTTAGCCTTGGTAGTTTCAGTGAACTTATTGCTGGGTTCGACAGGAGAAGCAAAGTGCTGCCTCTTATATCCTCTCAGACTTTGTTCAACCCATCAATACAGGTTTGTTTTGACTTTTCTTATTCCACTTCTTTAACCAGTTCTCTTTTCTCTCTGATTTATGATCTATAAATTGTCACTGTGATTTTCTATTTCACCTTCTCCTATACAGCCCATGTGCAAAGCAAGGTTAACCATTCTATCTTACCACTGCCCCACTTCTCATCTGTTCATGTCTATGCTTTCTCTCCTGATCTTTTCTACAATCTCTCATTCTCTTGTGGTTTTAAATCCATCCATTTAACACCTCTTCTATTCCTAGCTTTCATCATACACTTTTCTCCTCATTCATCTCTTCCCTCCTATGGCTTATTTACCACATTTTTTCTTTTCTTCCCCCTCCATTTTGCACTTTTGCTCATTCATTTTTTGCCTGTATTTCCAACTGACTTCATGGCCACAAATGTGTCCCTACTGCCTTTTTAGTTTGGTTAGTTTCAGCTTTCTGAACTTTTCTTTACAGTTTTTAGTTATTCATCACAAAAAGGGAAAGGAGTGGGAGAAGAGACACACGGGCAACAAAAGAGACCAGGTATATCTAAAGAGATCAGTATGGGACAGCCTTTTTTTTGAAGCAGAGCTGCTACATGCCAGGCTAAGCTGGTTGTGAAACTACAGCACGACCAAGCTCCAGGCTGGACTGGTTGCATTTCATGTGGGCAGTAAGCCAGGGTTCCTCAGCACCTGTCCATACCTCAAGAAACAGGGATATGGAGAAAGGAAGTGTTTAGGACCAAACCCTTTGAAAGGGCTTGTGCACCAGTTGCTGGCATATTGCAGGTGGTGTGAAAGCAGAGATCATGTGTTGGTTTACACAGACAAGCATAAATCAGCATAACAGACAGGTTGCCTGTTTAAATAGGCCATGACACACTGTCAGCTACCCTGGCATGTTATTCCTGCCAAGGAATGCTGCTTGCCTTCCCCTTGAGTGTGTGACTGCCAGCGAGCTAATTACAACACTTTAATCGCATTTGAGTTTATACAGTTTAGCAAGTCTATTAGGGCCAAGCACTAACCCCTGAAGTGAAGGAGTGTCCCATTGCCTTAGATAGCTTTGAGATTCTCAGGCTCCCTTCTCATCCAGAACAAATCCATTTTTTCTTTGAAGCTTGACTGACATCATTCATTTATAAATATCCAACTATTCCAACGCTATCTCATAATACACAGTATTTTGCACACTGCGATGGAGGACAGAAAGGAAGCAGCAAGGCAAGAGCAGCCAGCAGGCTGCAGTTAACAGCATTTACAAAAGCAATTTCAGGGCATGCAACAAGTAAAGGATGCCTTACTACTACCACACAAGTCCACCTACACAGAAGTATCCTGCTAGATGAAAACTAACACAAAACTCAAACAAGGACACTACCACTATCAAGACTCTCCCAGTTCACACAGACCATAAGATTTTACAACAGTTTCCCATCTGTGAAACCTCAGACAGGCTTTGCAGCAATGATCTGAAGAGCTGCATCCTCAGGTTATATTGGAGTAGGG